TGAACTCACTCACAGTCACTCGCAAACAAATGGATTCTGGGTCTGACATAAGTATTAATGCATCTTAAGTGAAAGGCATTTACAAAAACTCAACAACCCTAGTAATCACATCTGGCTTCAAAGAGCTTTCTTGTCCCTTGGAAAGTATGACAAAAATAATACCTCATATCCTTGTCGTGATTTTACTTTTCACAATATCTGAATACCTTCTCTGTTTTTTTAGTAAGGTCTTAAGTTTATTTTTATTTTTTTATTAAAATAATTTTTTATGTCTTTATTTTATTTTGAGAGACAAAGAGCAAGTGGGAGAGGGGCAGAGAGAGAGGGAGATACAAAATCTGAAACAGGCTCCAGGCTCTGAGCTGTCAGCACAGAGCCCAATGGGGGGCCTGAACCCACAGACTGTGAGATTATGACCTGAGCCGAAGTCGGACACTTAACCAACTGAGCCACCCAGGCGCCCCTATGGTCTTAAGTTTATTTATTTATTTTGAGAGAGAGAGAGCTAGCACAAGGTGGGGAAGGGACGGAGAGAGAGGGAGAGAGAGAATCCCAGGCACAGAACCTGATGCGGGGCTCAGTCTCACAAAGCATGAGATCATGACCTGAGCTGAGATCCAGAGTCGGACGCTTAGCGAACAGAGCCACCCAGGTGCCCCTGAACGCCTTCTCTGTTTAAACAGGTAGGATACGAGCTCAGCTCTTATACTCTAGAACTGATGTTGATGCTCCTTGTCATAAGTCTGCAAACTTTCTCCCTAAAGGGCCAGGTAGAAAGTATTTTAGGGTTTGCCAGTCAAGAGGCAAAATGGACATACTAGAATGCTCCTTATATAACTATTCAAAATATAGCTATTTGGAAACACATAAAGCTTTCCCAGCTTGCATGGTGTACAAAATACAGGCAGCAGACTGAATTCGGCCCCTGGGCTATACATTGTTGAGGCCTATTCTTGGACATCGAAGTCAAGAGGAATCGTTCTCCAACCTCAATGTATTCACAGGTCCTGGGAGTAGATAATACCTTCTGTGGTGAGGGATCTGGTGTTTGAGTCTGTCTGCTCCCCCTTTTTCCGGTGGCAGCCAGAATTTCCCATCATGCACCATGCCCACCAGCTCTCAGTCTGACTCCTCCGAACCTGCTCCGGGAAGACAGGCCCCCCAGACCCCTCCAATCAGAGCATCACGTCCTTTGGCTTCGGTGATTGGCTTTAGGGTGGTCATGTGCCCTGAGCCGAGCCAATCACTTCTAATGAGAGCAGTCCCAGGAGATTGGCTTGACTCTTGGCGTCAAGGCTTTTGCTCTTCTCCCGCTGGTCGAGATGCTACTAAAATGTCAGGGTGGCAGTGCCCGCGGCCACCCTGCAGACAGAGCCTCCTGCACAGCGACTAACCGGGAGGGACGCACAGAGGACAGCAGAAGGGAAACCACCTTCCTGGATGACAGATTGTGCTACCTGGATCCTCAACACACAACGTGTGGTCTGCCAGGCCACCAGCACTGGCCCGACTCAGGACCTTTTCAAAATACCCAACTCACACCTCCTGAATGAGCATCTGCCTCCAAGAAAAATCCCGAGGTGGTCTGAGAGCACATTAGTGAGAACACTTTTCTAGATGTTTTACGTGACATGAGCCATCTTTGCGTGGGGCTGGGGTGGGGGTGGGGGGTCTGTATGCCTCACTGAGCTCTGACTGGAGTCTATAATGTAAGCCAGCACGTTTGCTGACAAGCTCTTACAAGGCAGCCTGATAACAGTCATGTGAGAGCGATGGCATTTTAGGTCTGACAGACATTCCGTCTCTAACCATGGTTGTAGCACAGACTCACCCACCGGTGCTTGGGCCCCACCCTGCCCTCGCCTCATTCAATTTCCAGGGGGCCCAACAACAGCGACTCAGGTTTTCTTGAGCAGAGGTCGGCATGCTTTTTTCCAGAAAGGGCTGACAGTGCGGCGCTGTGGACCGGTCAGCACCTCCCCAACTACTCCCTTCTTCCTGTGTCCAGCATAAGTGGCCATGGACGGTCAGGGAGGGACGGGTGTGGCTGCCTTCCCGGAAATCTGTGCTTAGAGAAGCAAGCACGGGCTGGGTTGGGTCCTGGGGTTGTAGACTGTGGATTCCCTGTGCACAGAGTGGCTTCATTACTCGGAAAAGGCATTCCAGCTCCTCGCGTGTCAAATATTAGGAGGGGCCATGGGTCCTGTTTGCTGCCTGGTGTCCTTTCTCATGTTTTATAGTGAAACGATCCGGAAACCACTGTGCTCTCAAACTCACGTGGTTTGTGGGGTTGAGCGTGTCTTTGTTTAGGTTTTCCCAGAAGGATTCCATTGCGAGTGGTTTATTATGAGGTGCAGACAACATCAGTGAAGGGTGGGGAAGAGAGACAGAGCAGGGCACGCGGGACCTCTGTGCACATTGTCTGGGGTCATGGGGTGTGAGTGCAGGCTTATTGCACTGGGGGTGGGCGGAGGTGCCGGTGCCGAGCTGAGTTGACCCACGGGAGGGCCCAGGGAGTGGGAATAAGTCTGTGCCAACTCAGAAGAGCTCCTGGGATGGGGTCATGATAAGTCCTCAATGCGTCCATCCTGCCGCATGGGTGGAAAGGACGGCTTTGGAGATGAGACAGAATTCTCAGGTGATAACGTGCGGATGCGGAAGGAGGAGGGTGAGGCGAGGGCAGGGGGGACGTCCATGGCGGCTCTTCCAGCCCCGTGCACACTCTGGGCGTGTGACGTCCCTGCCACGGTGACTGTCTCCAGCAGACAGCAGGAGGAGAGGAGACCTTGGTCGCTGTTTCTGGAAATGAGCCGATGCTCTTTGTGGGCTCGAGGCTTGAACCATTTGGCAGGAGTCTCAGCTGCCTGGCTGCCATCGTGCATAGACTCAGGGGGAAGCCAAGAGGCAGAGAAAACCATCCCAGAGATGGAGGTGAGTCCTGATTGGGCAGATGTGAGGCCAGGATGGAACCTGGACTCCAGGCCACACGAGCCAGTAAAATCTCACTGTGCTTGAGCCAACTGGGTGGCGTTCGGTCACATGTAACCCCAAGAGTCCTAATTGACGTGTTTCCCAAGTTGGTATCAGTGAAGCCTGCTTATCACCAAGCTGGGCAGAAATTGGTTTTATAACACTTGCGCCAGGTTCCGCGTGAGGGAGGGAGAATTCTGGCAAAGATGGTGGTAGCTGAACTTGAGAGAACTCTCCATGCGCCTCTGAGATGCCAGCCTCTTGGGCCTCCTGGTAGAGCATCCTTAGTGGAGCAGAGCTGAGCTCGGGGATGGCCCTGGACACGGCCCCAGCGTGCTAGATGCAGGTGAGCAACTGCAGAGCAAAATTACCATCCAGTTTCTCACCATTTTCTCTCCCTGGCTCATTTCCAGAGGCCACAGGGTCGAGCCAGAAGTCACGGCATGGGTTTGTGCTGCGATCCACGTGGGCCAATGATGTGTTGACCTGACCCGCGACAGTACTCACCCAGCCCTCTGAAGATCTGACAGGGCCACAGGACTCCCTATAACCAGCCGCGTGTGTGTGGAAGACTCCCATGTCATTTCCACACCATCGCTTAGAGAAGCTCGCATGTGACTTTCCACGTGCCCCTTCCTCTGTCACGGAGACCATGAAGGCCATGTGTTCCTGATGTTGTAGCTACAAGATGGTGATGCCCCGGAGACACGGCACAGAACACAGCCCCCTACCATTTAAGCCGTGAAATATAAGCAAGAATAACTTGTGTTGTGTTGAGCATCTGAGTTTCTGGGCTTCTTTTTGTGGTAGCAGCCTTGCCTTGCTTATCTGACTAACATACAGAGTGGCCTGATGCTTCCTTATAAAAAGGGAGTAGAGAGGCGCCTGTGTGGCTTGGTCAATTAAGCATCAGACTCTTAATTTCAGCTCCGTCATGCTCATGGTTGTGAGTTCAAGTCTCACGTCGGGACCTGCATTGACTGTGTGGACCCTGCTTAGGATTCCCTTCCTCCTTCTCTCTCTGCCCCTCCCCTAATCACTCTCTCTCTCTCTCTCAAAATAAATAAACATTAAAAAAATTTTTTAAAGGAGACTCTTGTACTGTTGGTAGGAATGCAAACTGGTGCAGCCACTCTGGAAAACAGTATGGAGTCTCCTCAAAAAATTAAAAATAGAACTACCCTACAACCCAGCAACTGCACTGTTAAGTATTTATCCAAATGATACCAAAATGCTGATTCGAAGGGGCACATGCACTCCAGTGTTTATAGTGTCTCATGCTAACAGGCTGTCGGTCACTGTGTCAAATTATGGAAAGAGCCCAAATGATTGAATGACGAATGGATAAAGAAGATGTGGTATATATCACAATGGAGTACTACTCAGCAATGGAAAAGAATGAAATCTTGCCATTTACAACAACGTGGATAGAACTAGAATGTATTATGGTAAGCAAAGTAAGTCAAGCAGAGAAAGACAAGCATCATATTTCACTTTTATGTGAAATTTAAGAAACTCAACAGATGAACATAGGGGAAAGGAAGGAAAAATAAGATAAAAACAGAGAGGGAGATAAACCCTAAGAGACTCTTAAATACAGAGAACAAACTGAGGTTTCCTGGGGAGGAGAGGTGGGGGAGGATGGGATAGATGGAGATGGGCATTAGGGAGGACACATGCTGGGATGAGCACCGGGTCTCATATGAAAGAGGAGAATCACTGGGTTCTGAGCCTGAAGCCAAGACTACACTGTATACATGAGAACAAAATAAAAGGAGCAGAAAACAACAAGAAAAACAAATGGCACAACTAGAGGAAAACCAAGCAGGTGACGAACAGGGACAGGGCTGCAGTGAGCCTGGTGAGGGTCACAGGGCAGTAACTGGGCTGAGAAAGGCTGGACTGATGGCATGGCCCCTCCCCAAGGCACAGGGAGGTACCAGCGCCCCTGAGACACTGGTGGCAGCCGCATCCTGGGACAGACAGAGGGGAGGCCCCTGGGGGCGCAGGCAGGGTCCCGCCAGGCTTACCGTGGCCAGGGGGACGATGGCTGCCAGGTCCTTCTGGCTGACGAAGATCTCGGATACAGCCGTGTCTGTGGTCGCTGTCCTCGGGTACTCCACCTGCCAGGCGATGGGCTGCGTCCCCGAGAGGCTGCTGAAGCTGGCTATCTCGAAGTTCATCCGCACGACCTCGCTGAACGAGCTGCTGCTTCTGGAAGGGAGCGAAGGAAAATGGCTTTTAGCTGACCACGTTCCGTGCATGGTCAGGCTGCAGCTCTCGTCTAAGGGGAAAGCAGACACCTGTTGGGGATGGCGCGTAGGCACGGGCGCCGCCTCCACATCAGGGACGCGGTGGCTAGGACGGAGCAGCACCCATGAGGGAGGAACCAGGCAGAGTCTGAAGGGCTGGGTGTTAACAGGTGTCTGGGCCAGTTTGTTCCAGCTCCTCAGACAAGCGGTGAATCCCGCAGCCTCACCCCTGTGGAAGGAGCTTGGGAGACCTTTGAACTGAAGAGACTCCCTCTAAGCGGAGTTTGGTGGGCAAGCCAGTCATGGCAGGGGGCTTGCTTACCACCTTTGACCCACCCTGGCATTTTCTCCCATTTGGCAGAGGCTGACACTCACAACGGGGCCTCAGCGCCTGGATGCAGGGCTGAAGCCGGTCGGGGACCCAGGCAGGGGAGCCGGTGAGCTACGGGGGAGTGAGCAGTTCCGGGCTGGAGCGGGCGTCTCAGGCTAATGGGCCCACAGTCACTTTCTCCACCTGCCTCCAGCTGCCTCGTCACTGGGAACTGCCTTGCACACCTCAACACGGCCTCTTCTGCCTTGACAGAGGGGCTCGTTAGCTAATGGGACTCTGTGGTCCCCAACAAAGCGTCCTGGTCAATACCCTAAATCTGAGGTGACCCCAGACACGTGTCTTTTTAGCAAACTTGCCCTGGCAGGTGTGGGAACCTGCGACGTCCAAACTTCTTGTTTTTCAGACAATGCAGAGAAGGCCCCAGAAGAGGAAATGGCTTGCTCACGACCACACAAAGTCAGAGTGAAGGTGGCCGTTCTAGATCCCTGAGCCAGTGCTCTCACGACAGCTGGAGGTCAAGTGTAGAATCATGAGACACTCAGCCAGTTTCTCCAGTATGGGGGTTGGCAAACCGCGGCCGTGAGTCAAGTCCAGCCTGCTGCCTATCTGTGTAAACTGCTCTTGTGTTGTGGGAGCCAGGTCAAGTCTCAGTGTGAGGCTGTGGAAAGCCTGCAGAGCCTTGCAGTATTTATCATCTACACCTTCACCCAAAATGTTCACCAGCCCTTGTTGTAGGAGGTCAGAGAAAGGGAACTTGGAGAGCTTTCTGGAGCTGCTGAATCGATAGCATCGATATGGGTGGAAACAGGCGGGAAGGAGGCTTCCCAGGCACGCAGCGGGGCCTGCAGGGCGGGCAGGATTCTGGTGGCTGGAGAGCCGGGGGAGGGTCTTCAGTGCCCGCTGGCCCATGTCCTGGGCATTCCTGCCTGTGCTGGGGCAGCATCCCCTGGGAAGGCCACGTGTTTCCAGGGGAGTCGAGGGGAACTTTCCAGAGCACATTACAAAGGAAACAAGTCTGCTTACAAACTGCAGCCCAGGGGCACCTGGGCGCCTCTGTCAGTTAAGCATCTGATTCTTGATCTTGGCTTAGGTCATCTCATTGTTCATGAGTTCAAGCCCTGCGCCGGGCTCTGTGCTGACGGTGCAGAGCCTGCTTGGGATTCTCTCTCTCTGTCTCTGTCTCTGTCTCTGTCTCTCTCTCTCTCAAATAAATACACTTAAAACCCTGCATCCAAGCTTGTGCCGATGCCACTATGAAGAGTCGCTGGGGTGAGAAGGACGCACCTACCCAATCTTTGGGGTCTTGCTCAGCACCCAGAAGGCTAATTCTCCAGCTCATCACCCTCAGCCCTGATCAGAGGCTGGGGGAGGAGGTGACCGGGAGGTTGCCACACTGACCAAAGCCCCCAGGACTCGGGAATCTGCCTTGTGTTCTCTGGAAAGGAAGCAGTGCTGTGAAAACCATGATTTATGGGATACGGGATACCCTCTGGGAGGGAACCTGAGTCCACGGTCTGGTGCATCCATCCATGAGCCGTGCAATCTCAAGAATGAATGACTTGCCTCGGAAAATGAGGAAGAAGTGTCTGGAGTCTGGAGTGTCACACGTGGTCTGGCAGCTGAGCCCACAGGGATCTGAGCCTGCTTGACTCGGTCCCCAGAAACCCCACCTGCTCTGGTCCAGTCTGTCTCTTCCCTGAGTGACAGGCATGGCTTTATTTCAGGGGGTAAACCTTGCTCTCTTAGCAGGAACACTCCCCTGGGCATCGCCTTCTGCAGCAGAGCTGGGCCCGTGCTGCGTACGCTGGACACGCCCAGTAGTTGCTTGACAAACTGTCGGTGAACTTCCTTAGTGACGGACGAGACAGAAGCCCAGGTGTCCCAAGATCCTTCGTGGCCCCGCTGGGATAGGATAGAGTTTGCAACACGCCTTGACCTACACCCACCTTCATTTTCTTGTAAAACTCTATTCTGAGCATCACAACAGCTGACACCACCTACTGAGACTAAGTTTTGTCATCCAGATGCTTGAAGTGATGGCCTTCCCATTCTCCAGGGAGGACGCTGCAATGCAGAAGGGGCCAGCTCAACGGACACCCCAGCTGCGCCCTCTCCCACTGCCATTGTGCAAAGGTCGGCAGCAAGGCTGGGCAAGAGAAGAGAGAAGCAGAGTTTGCCTTTGTGACTTTGAAAGACATCATGTTATACAGTTTTTGTGAGCAATGGGGTTACTTTCTTAAGGTATTCTCAACGTGACGTAACAATGAAGACAAGAGGCACCTGGGGGGCTCAGTTGGTTCAGCGTCCAATTATGGCTCAGGTCATGATCTCACCTCCGTGGGTTTGAGCCCCGCGTCGGGCTCTGTGCTGACAGCTCGGAGCCTGGAGCTGCTTCAGATTGTGTCTCCCTCTCTCTCTGCCCCTCCCCCTGCTCATGCTCTGTCTCTCAAGAAAAAATAAACATTTTTAAAAAATTTTTTAAAAAGGAATAAAGACAAGAAGCCACTGTGTATGAAATGTTCCCTGTGTACCAGGCACTGGACCAGGTCCCATGAGTATATTATTTCAAATCCCAATAAAAACCTTTTCGGAGGTAATCACGGTTCCTATTTTGCACAAGTGTCAGAGCAGAGATGTTCTGGTGTTTCTGCACCTGGAAGGGTGTGTGCACTCCTTGATCCTCAACGCCGAGGGGAAGGCGATGCCTGGGCAGGTGCCCATAGCCCCCCACTCATGCTCACTCATGGTTTCAAGATGGAAAAATAATTAGAAGTCACAATTTGGGGGAAACTCCAGCTTTCCTCGGAGCTTTGCAGAATCTCGGTCAGAGTTGCATCAGGATGGTGCTGGGGCAGAAGGTTGGCACAGCTTTGCAGGAGGCTGGAGACCTCGGACGGACAGAAGGCGGAGCTGGCCCACGTCTGCAGGGATCTCGGGAATGGGCGAGAGAGAGAAGGCCGGGCAAGCCCTGCCCAACAGTGAGATGCACCCCAGGGAGGCTCGGGAGTAAACATTCTGATTCAGGACGAGGAACTGCTTTGGGAGGAGAGAATGGATGTGCTCGTTGGTTCACTTTTATGCGTCATGCCTCTTCTTCCTCTCCCTCACTCCACATGGCTATTAACTGTTTCATCCCTAAACCCTACATAATGTGATATACCCAACGTAAACTGAACTGCACCATATTTTGAAATGGCAGACTTTGGGGGGGTGGTTAGGGGAGAAAGCCATATGGTGGCTGTGGTTCCCGCTCTGCTCATCTGAATGGGTACATGGCCACTTGTCTCCCGCCAACTGCTGCCTTGTGGATCATAAAGGTTTTCATATTTTTTCTGGAGGTTTTGTATGAAATCTCTGGATTTTAAAATATAAGAACCTTAACCTTTTAGCCACGATGTAGCTCAAAACAGCATCTCTGCTGGCTGTCAGTCTGCGGTCTCTGGCTTGGGAAGAGGGTATTCTTGTGCTGCGCAGGCAGCATTTCATAGAAGCATCATGCTCAGAGGTGGAAGATGTTGGTCCTGAAGGCGATGTAGGGAGATGATTTCCAAACTGTGGGCCCAGGACCCTTAGCGCACCACAGGGCAGTGACGGCGGGGGCCGTGGGGCTGGAGTTGATCCCAATGTCCTCCCTGCAGCACCAAAAGCAGCTCCAATCTGACATGTCATAATATTGGGCCTCCGGGAAGTAGTTATTTAGAGGATGAAGAAGAAAACAAGGCATGAGGGAAGGAATAGAGGAGAGAAAACGTAGGAAGGAAGAAGTGAGAGGCGGAAGGAGGAGGAGGGAACGAGGAGGTTGGAACAAGGCTGTAACGCATGGCTCTGCTAAGGAAACACAGCAAGTGGTACGATCATGCTGTGGGTCCTGAGTTCAAATCCTGGCTGTCCCAGCCAGGCACTTCTGGGCAACTCGCCCCTCTTCCCTATTTGCAAACTGGAGATGTGACTCTTTCCCATTTCATAGAGTTGGTGTGAGGATAAGCAAATGAGCAAATAGGTGTCGTGAACTTAGAACAGTCTCGCACCAGCGAACATCAGCAGATGTTAGCTGTTCTTGTTTTTAGCACGACTTGACACTGCATTTGTTCTCGGTGACTTGAGGTTTGACTGCCTAAAGCCACCTTTAAAACATGCCCCTTAGGGCTGGTCCAGGAGTCCCTGAGAACAAGCCACCGTAGAGATGCTCTTCTCCGCCACTCATTACAACCTGGGATTCATTCAGATTTGCATTTACTCCATAGCTGTCCCTGTCGGACACGATACCACGGTGTCACACGTTTTGCTGGCAGATGGAGACCAAGAAAGGAAGAAATCTGTCTGCAGTTCTGTCTGTGGTCAGCGCCCTCCTGCTGTCTCTGAGCTGACAGAAATCTTTGCTAATCTTTTGCCTTGAAGGGACCAAGAGGCTTTCATGTCTGCCCATCTGGGGCTTGTGATACTGTTGGAGTAATAAAGAGAGGAATTTAAACACTTAAGTGACTCCAGAGAGTGCCCAAGAACCACCACTTGCTAAATCAATAGTGTAGATTTATTGCAGTAACTCTTGAAAGAGATTTTCAAAATTGGCTTAAAAAAAGCTCTTACTCAAAAACAAATAAATTCCCCCAATAGTCATAATAAAGTTTGGA